CCCCCCCCCCCCCCCCCCCCCCCCCCACCTCCCTGGATTGCTGGTCTCTCCCAATTCTTTTCTCCACCACCAGCACCCCACACACCGGCACTGTGTTCAAGGTGATATTTGGGTTGTCACTGACTTGTTTCAGGTGCGGGAGTTCAATGGCCGACACTACATCCTGGAGCGAGGGATCACTGGGGACTTTGCCCTCGTTAAGGCATGGAAAGCTGACCGTGCGGGGAATGTTGTGTTCCGGTAAGTTGTGTTCTGGACACTGAACCAACAGCAGTGTCGGGACTGGAGCAAGACTGGGGGCTATCAGGGTCAGGATCGTTGCCAGGCTACTCATGGGAGAAAAATTGCAGGTGGTTACTGTGAGGTGACCCTGTTGTTGCGCTGGCAAATTGTCTGTTTTATTCACTTGTCAGCTGAGAGTGTTGCTGGCTGTGCCAGTGTTTATTATCCATCCCTAATTACCCCTAGAACTGAGTTTCTGACTTGGCCATTTCAGATGGCAGTGCAGAGTCATACACACTGCCGTGGGTCTGGAGTAACATGGAGGCCAGACCAGGTAAGAACAGAGGAAAGGGGAAGGTGAGTATTATGGCTGAATTGTATTATCGATAGACTGTTAATCCAGAAACCTGGTAGTGTTCTAGGGACTGTGTTCAAATCCTGCCCTGGCAGATAGTGGAATTTAAATTTAATAAAGAATCTGGAATTAAGAGTCTAATGATGACCATGAGACTGTTGCTGATTGTCAGGAAAAGTCAGTCTGATTTACTCATGTCCCTAATGTCCTTCGTTGAGGGAAGGAAACTTGCCATCTTAACCTGGTCTGACCTACATGTGACTCCAGACTCACAGCAAAGTTGACTCTTAACTGCCCTCTGGGCAATTAGGCACGGGCAGTAAGTGCTATCTAGTGATATCCAGCTCCTGTGAATGAATTAAAAAGAAAAAAAAAATCACTCTGTCTGAAGAACATTGGTGACCCAGATAGGGTTTGTATGATAAATGGTGATGGTTGACATGGTCATTGTTACTGGGACTAGCTTTCAATCCCAGACTGATTGGTTGAGCAGAAATTCTGACCACCTGGCCCAGTGGGATTTCAACCCATCTCCCCACTGCATTATCCTGTGGGATTTCAGTTATCAATCCAGTCACGTTAGTAAACTGCCATCTCTCCAGTTCTATCAGGAGATAGTTTAGAACTTGCTGTGATTGGTAGGCCCTGTTGGGTGAGGGTCATACTGGGCTACAGTTAGAGTCCCTAAGGTCCCACGTACAGAAACCCACCCGCTGCAGCGGGGAGTGTTGTATTTTGATCTTGCTGACCTCAATGAGTGTCTGTGTGTACCTGCTGAGGAGGGAGTGTTTGTCAGGTGTCCAGTGTACCACACCAGGAGGCACAGTCTGCCCTGTACCAACAGAGCTAGCATTAGCATTAGCATTGGCATTGGCTCTGTGTTGAAGGACTTTTGTCTCACCCCACTACGTTCCCTTTCAGGAAAACGGCGCGGAATTTCAACCAGCCCATGTGCAAAGCTGCAAGAGTGACGGTTGTGGAGGTAGGTATGGACTCCTGGGCTGGAGGCACTTGTTGGTTTGAATGTTCTGCACAGATTTGGTGAGGCTGAGAGTTTCTGCCTCAGACTGGGCAGAATCGAGATCACAGGCTCAACATCTGAGATGCAGAGGGTCCACTGTTTCAGGAGAAAGGCCTGCAGCAGAGGGTTCCGAATCTTTGGCATTCTCTGCCCGAGAGGACTGTGGGTCTTGATTTAGTTTCAAGTTTAAAATTGATAGATTTTTGGAAAGGAATGTACTTGGTGTTTGTGGGGCCAGTGCAATGAGGTATAAGATTTAGCTCCTGTTGTCTTTTTGTAATCTGCAACACAGTGAGAATCACATGTCGTCATTTCCCTTGTAGCTTTGTGTCCAAGTCCAGTGCTTTAATTTCAGAGTGTGGGTGCCCCGGGCTGGGTCAACAGTTATTGCCCCTCTCTGTAATTGCCCCTGAAAAGATGGTGGTGAGCTGCTGCCTTGAACTGTCTGAGGGGTGTGCAGTGTTTATTTAAACTGGATGCTGGGAGGTGACCGAGCGAGACACTGTGCACAGGAGCTAGAGGGACAAAGAGGTGCTGAAACTCTCCGAGTGCCAGGGCCTGTTCGTGCCTGCTCCTTCCCTCACACACTGTGTATCACGTTTACAAGCAGCAGGCAGCTTGAGTGAGCAAAGTAACCTAGCAACCAGCAAAACCCATCAGTCAGTCTGAACAGATCTGGGAGATTTGAAATACAGTAAGTGGCTGTAGGGAGGCGGAACAGGAAGAGATGGGAGTTTGTTTTGAAGTTTGGTTCGGTTTGTTTTGATTAGCAGTGAAATTAAATTCTCTTTGAAGAACAATCATCTCATGTATTTGTTTAATTCTGTTTCATATTCAATCCTGTGCTCTGTGCCAGACACTAATTTGGTTGAAACAGATTCATTCAATCTGGCTGCCACCGAGAGGGGGCACAGACAGCACCAATCCAGGTTCAGTGATGAAAATGCTATTGTTCCTAGAGGGAATAGATCTGGGAATTAAAGGATAGGGACAGGATAGGGTTAGATGCTGAATAAATCTCCTTCTGCTCTGAGCCCAGAATCCACCCTAAGGCAGTTTTGGGAGAGCCTCTGCTGTGTAAATGTTTCACTCTGGCCTGGTGGATCTTGGGCCTTTCCGAGTCACTCAGGAAGATGGTTTCTGTTCTGGTCTGTGCTGTCCCCGGCTTCTGGAAAGGACTTGAGGCAGGCCATTCGAACCTGCGACAGCCTCATGGTTTTCAAGCTGGGATCAGCTGTGACCTGTCTGTTTGGGGTCAGGGATCCAGCTGGGAGCAGTGATCTCATTCAGGGGAGTGCCTGTCTCTGAGCTAGCAGGTGGAGAATCCAACCAGGATGAGGAATCGGTATGGCGGGCGATCGGAGGAAGGGTTGTTGTTAAATGAAGTGTCTCACTGTGTGTCTGTTTGTGGTGTTTTCAGGTTGAGGAAATAGTTGACACTGGGACGTTTGCCCCGGAAGATGTCCACATCCCCAGTATATACGTGCAGAGAGTCATCAAGGGGGAGAAATATGAGAAGCGGATTGAGGTGAGGAACAACGCAGGGCTGTCTCAGCATGATAGAAACGTCACAATAAATGCCAAGTTCATCCGGTGCTCTGACAGTACCCCCACAATGCACATGCGCGCTCTCGCTCTCTCCCACTCTCCCTCTCCCTCTCTCTCTCTCTCTCTCTCTCTCTCTCTCTCTCTCTCTCTCTCTCGCGCACACATACACACACTGGGAAGGGATGTTCCTGCTCTGAGCGTGTGCTCCTCCAGCAGAGTGTTCCCTCTGCCCTCAGTGGGAGCAGTGTTCCTGACTGTGTGTGCTGGATGTAATTGGGAATTAGAGCGTTATTTAAAGAGGGATTGAGGGAGGAGGTGGGTGCATGGCATAAGGTGCAATGGTCATTGAGAGAGTCTGTACAGAATGAGGCATTTTGGCCCATTTGTGTCTCCTCTGCGTTCAGTCATTTCCAAGCGCTGCTCGGAATCAACCAGACAGCTGTGACCGCCTACCCACAGGGCACAGCAAGAGGGAATGTCCAATTTCCTTCCCCAAGACTGATCACAGCATCAAACTCCAGATTAAACTGATGGCATTTTCATGTCACCCGGCAGATTGTGTACAGTGTGGGTGTCACATTATAGGGAAGATGTGAATGCTTTGGAGAGAGTGTGGGGGTGATCTACAAGAATGATCCCAGGAATGAGAAACCTCAGTGTTGAGGATAGATTCGAGAAGTTGGGACTGTTCTCCTGGCAGAGAGGAGACCATGAAGGGATTTGATGGAGATTTTCAACATCATGGCTGGGCTGGACTGGGTAGGGACAGAGAAGCTGTTCCCACTTGTAAAAAAAAGGATTGAGAATGAGAGGACCTAGAGAGGGCATTGGTCTGAAGAAGGATCCTTGGTCTCGAAACATTAACTCTTCTCACCCTCCACAGATGCTGCCAGACCTGCTGAGTTTCTCCAGCACTCTGTTTTGGTTTCGGATTGTGAGGGGTCTTGATTGATGCGGGAAGGATATTTCCTCCTGTGGTGGAGACTACAAGGAGCAATAGTTTAAGAACAAGAGTTCTCCCTGTTAAGACCCAGATGAGGATATCTTTTCTCCCCGCTTGCGGAGTTGAGTTTGTGGAATTCTCCTGCCCAGGGAGCAGAGTAATCTGTTATTGAATATATTTGAGGCCGAGTTAGAGAGATTATTGGTTGATTGACAATAAAGTCGAGGGTTATGGGAGGGGTGGCAGGACAGTGGAGTTGATACGATACCCACATCTTCCACGACCTTACTGAATGGTGGAGCATGCTCAAAGGGTTGTTGACACCTATAGCACAGAAAAAGGCCCTCTGGCCCATCGTGTCCTCGGTCAAACGCAACCATCTAATTAGTATAATCCCATTTCCCAGCACCTGCCCCATAGCCCTGTATGCCTTGGCATCACAACTGTACATCTAAATACTTAAATGTTCTGAGGGTCTCTGCCTGTACTACCCTTACAGGCAATGAGCTCCAGATTCCTACCACTCTCTGGGGCTAAAAGGTTGTTCTTGCACTCAAAGGGCTGAATGGCTTACTCTTGCCCCAAGTCCCTGTGTTTCTATAACCTGAAGAATGTGCTACACTATAAAACATAGAACAGCCCTTCAGCCCTACCATGTCTGTGCTGCTCTGATGCTATTCTAAACTAATCCCATCTGCCTGTCCATGGTCCATATCCCTTTGTTCCCTGCCTGTTCAGTGTCTGTCCAAATACCTCTTAAATGTCGCTATCCTATCTGCTTCTACCATTCCCCCCCGCCCCACGCGACTGTGCATTTGGGGCACTTACCACCCTCTGTTTTTTAAAAAAAAAAAACCTTACCTTACACAAATCCTTTAAACTTTCCCCTCTCACCATAAACCTATGCCCCCTAGTATTTGACATTTCCACCCTGGGAAGAAGACTGACTCCCCATTCTGTCTGTGCCTCTCATAATTTTATACACTTCCATCAGGTCTCCCCCTCAGCCTCTGACGCTCTAGTGAAAACAATCTAAGTTTGTCCAACCTCTCCTGAGAGCTCATACATTCCAATCCAGGCAGCACCCTGGTAAACCTCTTCTGTACCCTCTCCAAAGCCTCCACATCCTTCCTATAGTGTGGGAATGGCACAAGGTGAATTGCTCCTTTGTGCACCCAGCACGAGCATGATGGCCTTGAGAATCCTGAAGTTCCCTCCCAAAGGGCATTGTGAGTCTACCTACACTATGTACACTGCAGCTCATCGTCACTTTCTCAAGAGCAAGCAACAAAGGGGTGGCACAGTGGTTAGCACTGCTGCCTCACAGCGCCAGGGACCCGGGTTCGATTCCAGCCTCGGGCAACTGTCTGTGTGGAGTTTGCACGTTCTCCCCGTGTCTGTGTGGGTTTCCTCCAGGTGCTCTGGTTTCCTCCCACAATCCAAAGATGTTGCAGGATAGGTGAATTGGCCATGCTAAATTGCCCATAGTGTTCAGGGAGGTGTAGATTAGGTGGGTTATAGGGGGGTGGGTCTGGGTGGGATGCTCGGTGAGGTTCGGTGTGGACTTGTAGGGCCGAAGGGCCTGTTTCCACACTGTAGGGATTCTATAAACCCTGGTCCAGCCAGTGACACTTGTTTCCCGCAAATGAGAAAGCATTGCCTCCTGTGCTGTAGCCATTCTGTGACTGTATTTGAAAGTAATTCATTGCTGTATGACCCTCCTCTACCTCTTGGAAAGATGTCGGAGGTGCTGTGTTTCATTCGCTCTGGAATACCAGTAACAGTGGCCAGCATTGACTGTCCAGCCCTAACTGACCTGCAGGAAGTGCTGGTGAGATGCCTTCCTGAACTGCTCAGTCCGTGTGTTTGAAGGACAGTGCTTTGGATTTAACTCAATGGAGTGGCCTGTTCAGATCATTTCAGAGGGTGGTTGAGTGAACCTCATCATGGATGTTCTACAGTCACGTGTAGGCCAGACCAGGTGAGGATGGTAGATTCCTTCCACTGGAGGACATTAGTTACAATCCACTTAGAATCCAGTAGCTTGAAAAGAGATGAATTTCCCAACAGAAATAACCAAAGAACAGGATTTCATTTTTTGATAATTAAACTGTAACAAACTAAAATAAACATAGATCAAAGGTTAAATAACAGGCTGTTGATAGGTCAAATTGAAAAGGAAAGTCAATTTAATATTGTCGAACAACATTTATAAAGCACCTTGACTTGACACCCCTGTAGATACTAAGTGGTGTAGAGCAGCATAGGCCACTCTGAGCTGTCGAGGAAATGGTCATCATTGCTCCCCCCACCCAACCCAAAAAGCAGGCCAAAACATCCAGGCTTCTTTTAGTGCTATTGCCCTCTGCCTGGGCTTTCCTGGAGACTGTTATTACCCTTGGTACACCAATACTTCACTGCTCAAGAATCCCGTCCATTCTGTTCCCTGTCAAACTGAAACAGGGCCCTCCAATGTATCTTGCTGTGTCTCCTTCACAAGGCCATTCTCCCTGTTTCAGCCCAGCAGCAGGTTTTCAGCCCAGCAGCAGGTTGTCTTACCTCAGCTGTACTAATCCTGAGAGACTATGAAAAACTACCACTTAATCTTCAGGTGGGTTTCCATTTGACTTTCTATCCCCATTGGCAACCAGAAATGATGGGGACACTTCTCCAAACTGAGGTGTTTACTAGGAATTCAAACCCCCTCCCCCCAAGAGAAAACAGGCCCTTCGGCCCATCATATATATGCTGACCAAGTCTTTGGATGCATTCCAGTTCAGCTGTAACCCATCCAGCCTGTACAGAAATCTAAAGCTCTCCCTCCTACATCATCCCTTTAGCTATTTTAGATTTAAGAGAACATCTTGAAGTTCAATATTCGTGACTCATGAGATGGATTTTTAATACAAGCCTATAATTCCATAATCACTATTAGAGCAGTCAGCAATCTGTATTTGAGATGAACGAACTGAATTTGAGGTTTTCCCACCTAGTGTATCTCTGTAAAGTCTCTCTTGGTGACCTGATGGGTTTTCTATTCTGGAATGTGAAAGGGATGCTCCGTCTCAACTTTCCCAGGAATTCTCTCCTGATCCTTTCTCCAGTCCGACAATCACTGCATCGCTTCCCAAAACACCAGGCCTGATCCCAGCACTTCCCTGTAGCTGTGACCTTGCTTAAAGGCAGTATCCCCACTCCGGATCTTTCCGGATGCTTCTGTGTTGCTGTAACGATACAACGTTCTTTCTGTTCAGAGACGAACTCTTCGGAAGCTGGGAGACTCTAAGCCTGAGCCAAAGACGGAAGCTGAGATCACAAGGGAGCGCATCATTCGGAGAGCTGCACTCGAGTTTGAAGATGGCATGTACGGTATCCTTTAGCAGTGGGTACAGCCACTGGCAGTGTGCCCGGCCTTTAAAGGTTTAGAGATTGGAGGGAGAAACATGTTTCAAATGGGACAGCATAAGCTGGAGAAACCAAACAATTATCATTGTCTGCTCAGTGAAGTCACCAGTTCTGTCTTCACCCAGCCATGATTACTGTGTCATGGATGGGTACCATGTTGGGAGGAAGTGTGACTGCATCAAGTGCCAATTAGAACGACTGTATACAGTACAGGGATCACAGTCTAAGGATACTGGGTAGGCCATTTCAGTCTGAGCGGAGAAATGTCTTCGCCTGTGGAGTTCTGTACCACAGGCCAGAGCATTGAATATCTTCAAGATGGTTTTTAGGACTAAAGGGATTAAAGGGTATGGGGAGAAAGCAGGAACAGGAACTGAGCTGGATGATCTTATTGAATGGCAGAGCAAACTTGAAGGGCTGAATGGCCTCCTCCTGCTGCTGTTCTGTATGTAAGGGGCCTGGGGAGAAGATCCTGTGGAAATGTTTCCGTTCTTTGGGACTTCCAGTTCTGCAACAACATCAAGGAGGTTGAGTTGATTTTCTTTAGATGGAGGAGTTGAGGAAAATGCCCCCTGTGGTCGGGATTCAGGAGCCAGCCAATATGGCCCTGGCTGGGGAAGGAATGGGAGGAATTCCTTCACCCAAGCAGGATTGAGCTAACTTGCTGGAGATTGCTGAATGCAAATGAAGTGAGGGTGGATTTGAAGAGAGACCAGTTGAGTGGTCTGGGGGAATAGTGTGATCATCCTGTCCAATGGAGATTGAGTTCTTGAATCAGTTTCTGCAGTTTGGGTGGCCTTATCCAGGGGCTGCTAGTGAGACATGATTGTGACGTAAGCCCTCCCAGATTGGAAGCAGCGTTAAATGCTGTCGCTGTGGGGCTTCTGAACGATTTCTGGAGATCCACATTAGACTTAACTGGAGCTGACCAGCAAACCTGGGGATTGGAATGCCAATGTTAGCCAGCAACTTCATCAGACCTGACATCACCGTCCATCTACAGAGTGAGAACGGTGTTCTGGGATTGGTAAGGACACATTGGAGCTACCAGGGACACAGGAGTTAGTCATGGCACATCAACCTGAGCCTCCCAGATTGCCTTAATCTGTTACAATCTGCCTACGGACGCAACAGGGCCACAGTAGGTGCCATCCCCCTGGCCTTACACTCATCCCTGGACACCTATGTCAGGCTCCTATTTATTGAATTTTTGTTAAGCACAGGTATGAAGGGATATGGGCTCAAGGCAGATAAATAGGGTTAGGCCACAGATCTGCCATGATCTCATTGAATGGTGGAACAGGCTTGAGGGGCTGAATGGCTTTTGTTCCTGTGAGCAGAAGCAACTGGGGTAGATTGACAAACTCTCGAAGATAGGTGAAGGTTCCCAGAACCAGACCAGTTTGAATGGTTTTGTGTATTTCTTTTGTAACTAATTGAGATTTGTGAAGTGTTCAGAATGAGAAAGGGAGCAGTTGAGTGCTTGGATTCAGTGAGACAGGGGCTGGGGTGACCTGGGGACGGAGCTGACTGAACCAGCAAAGCATTTGCTGATAAGTGGGTGGGAGTCGCTCTCACTGTCACACTTACTCACGGTCACCATCTCACTGTCTGATAGGGTCCGTACCCACTGGAGGGAGAGGAAGATGCAGACCTCATTAACGCAGGTGAGCACAGGGTTGTGGTGGGTGGTGGGGTGGGGTTGGGGGGGGGTGGTGCCATGGAGGACGGGGAAAGGAAGCACAGGGATAGGGAGGGGAGGGGAATGCCAGGTTGGGGAACATTGGGAGAGGGGATGAGACCTATTGGGCAGTCAGTTTGCTCAGGGGTCCGATTGGGCAGAGTGTTGGCAGAAAAGCCTCAGCTGTTCCTGGTTCATCCTGCCCCTCCCATGGGTATTGTTGGGGGTGGAGGGGGTGGGTAGTGGTGTCTGTGGAGAGGTGACCCTCATGCTGGACATTCTGTTGTTCCTCTCGAACAGAGGTCCCTCAGCAGTGCCAGTTCAGTTAGGGAGCAATGGTCAGTGTGTAACCCAGGCACTGACCACTCACTGCCGAGGGACAGACAAACGCAAGAATTCACACTGTGAGGGCCTTGTGCTGTGCTGAGCAAGGCTTGGAGCTGAGACTGAATCTGTTTGTTCTGCTTCTTTTAGGTAAAGAGACAGTGACTGTCCTTCCTGGAGCCTCGTTTTTCTCCAGTGATGAGTCGTTCGCCATGATCCGGGGGTAGGTGTTCATTGTTGTCTGTTGTTGCTACTTTAAAACGTGTTCTCAGGAGCTGTGGGCATCTCCGACTGGGCCAGCACTTATTGCCCATCCCCAGTTGCCCTTAAGAAGTGTTACGAAGTTGGGTAGAGTACTTGTGGATTAGAAGGCAGGACATTAGAATTTGTTTGTAAAAAGATTAGTGCGGGAGGGAAAGAGTGCGTGGTCCCTCGAAGACGTGGAAGGATGACACCAAGGAACATGAAGACTAAGACCACCGAGGAATTTCCAAGACCATCTTCAAAGATGGAAGTGATACGATTTTCGGGACTGAGTGGATTCTACTAGAAGTTTGTACCAAACTTAAGTAGCGTGGTGGCACTGGTGATGGATTTCCTATCGAAGAACACGAAATGTCGGTGGCCAGAACAATGCCAGGAAGTATTTGAAAATTTAAAAGCAGTATTAACCACTACTCCCCGCCAGTTTTAGCCATGCCACATTTCTTGAAAGCCTTTTAAAGTTGCCATCGACACAAATGATGTAGGGGTTGGAGCTGTGTGGTTACGGGGGGATGTAGGGGTTGGAGCTGTGTGGTTACGGGGGGATAATTGTGGAATTGAAAGGCCAGTCGGTTATATTTCAAAAAAAGAACAAATATTCACCAGAGAAAATATTCAACCACTGAACAGGCGTTATTGAGTTTGGTGCTGGCCTTTCAACATTTTAATGTCTACGTTGTAAACAGTGCATCGATGTCGGTTGTGTACATTGATCACAACCCTTTGACATTTTTGGAAGGACGAGAACACCAGATTATTTCATTGGAGTCTTGTGTTACAAGCATTTAATTTACAAATTGTACACAGGGTGGGTTGTGAAAATTTTATTGCAGATGCGTTATTGTGGGTTTATAAGGAAAATGTGTAGATGAAATTTAACACTACTGTGTCTATGTTTTAGATAAATGTATATGGTATCGTATGAAATGTGTAACTCTAGATTAATGGCCTATAGACCTGGTAATAATCACATTAAGGTTTGGAGAAAATAAAATGAAGCTACCTTTTTTGTACTGAAGGTTTGCTTTTTTTCTTAAGGGGGAAGGTGTTGCAAAGTTGGGTATAGTACTTGTGGATTGAAAGGCAGGATGTTAGAATTTGTAAAATGATGGGGGCGGGGGGGAAGAGTGCGTGGTCCCTTTTTTAAACGATGTGGTTTTTTTTTAGGCGTGGAGATTAAAAATGGTCTGCAGGTGGCAGTAGCAGCTGTACCGAGAGCTCTTGAAATTGAAACATTGCAACCGAATGGTTATATCGTTAGGAGCCAAAGCAGCATTTCTACCAAGACAACAGGGTTCTTGAATTCAGCCAATTAATTTAAACCAGGCCCTGGATACCAAAACCCAATTAAATTTAAATCTGAGATAGTAGGAACTGCAGATGCTGGAGAATCCGAGACAACAAGGTGCAGGGCTGGATGAACACAGCAGGCCAAGCAGCATCATAGGAGCAGAGAGGCTGACGTTTCGGGCCTAGACCCTTCATCAGAAAAGGGGGAGGGGAAGGGGGTTTTGAAATAAATAGGGAGAGAGTGGGAGGCAGATAGGAGAGGGATAGAGGAGAGGATAGGTGGAGAGGAAACAAACAGGTCGAAGAGGCGGGGATGGAGCCAGGAAAGGTGAGTGTAGGT